TGTGACAGTGATGTTCACATGTACTGTGACCATCCCCTTTCATTCTCAGTAAATGGTATAGGAATTTTTCCTCGGGATAACATTGTCTAAGTTCACATCCTCGTATTTTGAGGCTATTGTGTAAACTGTTGTTAATGCTATCTTTTGGTCATCTATGTGCCATTGTTCTTTGTACATCAACAGCTGATTTTGAAACATCTAAATCAGAGAACTTAGGAAGTGGAGTGATACTTTTAATCTGAACTGTAATTCATTTTTTGTTTAATAGACTGTCCAGTCCCCATGGAGTGATCCTCACCCCCTGTGGAACATCACGGGCCACATACCTAAGAATTTATTTCTGATGTCTCTGTTGTATACCACTGGTCTTTCTGTTTTTATGTTCATACCACGCTGCTTGGGTTAGTTTAGGTTTCTAAGAATTTTGAAATAATTGTGAAACTTCCAACTTTCTTCTTTTCAATCTTGGTTTTGCTATTGAGTGTCTTTTGAGAATGCATTTGACTCTTAGGATATATCTGTTTCTTCAAAAAAATCACAATAATACTTGTTACACACTGTTGGGATTTTATTGGGGATTGGGTTGACTCTGTTGACCACTCAGGGTAGTATTTACACCCTGATCATATTTACTTTTAATCCATCGAGCTTGGGATGTCTGCATTAATTTGACCTTTCAGATTTTTTTAGCTGTGTTTTCATTTCATAGTGCATACATCTTTCCCTTCTTCTGTATGGTGTTGCTGAACACTTTATTTTTTTGATGGTATCATAAATGGAATTTTCTGAATTTAATTCTTGATTTTTTTATTGTTAATGTAGGGGAAAAGTATTGATTTTTGTATATTGTCATTTTTCTGAGTTCATTATTATTATTATTGTTATTTTGAGTTCATTATTTTTATGAGTTTTTTTTTTTTATCAGTTTTTTTTTTTTTCCCAGAATCTTCAGAGCTTTTTATTTATTTTATTTTGCCACAACACGCACCATGTGGGATTCTAGATCCCCCACCAGGGATTGATCCTGGCAGTGGAAGCCTAAAGTTCTAACCTTGCCAGGACCGCCAAGGAATTCTCCAGGGTTTCTTCTATTTCATTTGTCAACAGAGATGTTTTGCTTCTTTTTTCTATTGGGATTGTTTTATGTGTTTTTGCTACCTTTGAGTTCTTGCTAGAAATTCTAGTAATTTCATTTTTTAGAGATAGTGCAAGTATCCTTGTCTAGATGTTAGGGGAAAAGTTTTAAGTCATTCCACACTGAGTATGATGTTAGCTGTGGGCTCTTGATATATGTCCTTTATTGTGTTGAGATCATTTTTGTCTATTTCTAGTTTACTGAATGTTTCTATCATATTTTTAACATTTTCACCTCAGGGAACCTCTGGGAATGGTGAGGCTCATGCCAGTTCATTCTCAATGCAATGTAAGAAGGAGGAGGGGAGTCAAAAGCCAGGAAATTGTCATGAACTTTCCTACATTTTTCAGTTTAGTGTTTTCTGGACAGGCATCTAAGAGTGCTGCTGCTCCTTTACGGGTTGGGTGAGTTTTCCCAAATTGTTTTCTGCTTTTTTGTTTTTTCTGCTTTTTTTTACTTGGCTCCCTCATGGGTAATGAGTGCCTGTGGTTTACTGTACTGCTGACATCACTCCTCATGGTTTTTTTCTTTGAGAGTTTGTGGTAAGAATTTAATGATATGATTGCTAGTTTTTAGAGAGGCCAGCTAAAAGAACACTGTTATGTTTAATAAGGAGAGTTAGCATAAAAATTTTGTATATAAAATATATTACATAATAAATATTTTAGTTACTTTTTTCTTTTTTAATTTACTTAACTGTTTTGATTATATCCTGAAATATATCTTGATTATATCTTCAGGCTTTGTCAATCACTTTCTGCTATCTTTGTTTGTTTCCTCATACAAACTGCTCACCCAACTAGGAGACCTTAATTCTGAAATCACATTCTCCCTCCTTTACAATACTGTTGATCTGATTACTTTGTTCTGCATTTGTGTGTACAAATTAGACTCCTTGTAATGGTCTTCTCCTGGTTTTTTCTTCTGCTTTTTACTGAGAACATTATTGCAGAGTCTCCTGGAATACAATGTATGTTTATATTGAGCATATATGCGGAAATACAGTCACTAAAGTACTCAGTTGGATACACTGCATAGCAAATAGTGTAATAGATTGAGAGTTAATTTCCTTCTACAGTGTTTAAATCTCATTTGGTTTTTTCCCATACTCATAATATAATTCCCCTAGTTAAAAATGGTACAGAAGTATACTATTGCTAAACCAATTCTTCTTTTGTTTTAAGGTCAGTATTTTAGTTGCCCTTGTACAGTGGTATTAACACAGTCAAAAGCTATGCAGATATGTGTACTCTGTGCTTTACCCTGGCCGTTTCTCAGTTTGATCTTTCCTTATTACATGGTACCATGATGTGAATGGAAAGATTCTTATTTTCTAGTATATTTAAGTTATTATCCTAAACGTCTCAATTTCCACAGCACTCTTTCACCATCCCTGCACCATCCATTTTACTTACACTGTAAAAATAACACCTCTGTGTATTGAACAGCTTTCTCATGACACAATCTAAATCACTTTGTGCAACTGACAACTCAGAAACCATTTCCAGGAGGGGTGGCTGAATCCCCTTAGTAGTTACACAGCCCACTTCTTGTGTCTTCCTTGACGTTTTCTTTCTTAACTCCCGATATTTGTCATAGTATTTTGTAATCTAGACTGCTTGGGTGGACAGTCATGTTTAAGAATATGTTGTCTCAGTCTGTAGATCAAAACTCATAGTGTGGTTCTCACTGTGTTCAGTGTCAATTGGGGTCATGTACATAAATCTGTGATTCCACTTTCCATACTTGAAACATTGTGATTATTTTCCTCAAGACTTTCAAAAGAAATTAGTAATGTTAGATGGCATGAAATGTCTTTTTTGCGGGGGGTCGGGGGCACACCATGCTGCTTATAGGATTTAGTTTCCCAACCAAAAATGGCACCTGGACCTAGGTCAGTGAAAATGGTAAGTTTGAACCACTGAACTGCCAGGGAATTCTCAGAAATAGTGCTCTTTTTTCCCTTTTGAGAAAGATCTTTATTTGCTTTAAAATTTTTACAGTAGTAAAAATTATGTATTATACATTGCGTGTGTGTAGATGCAGTCATTAAGTCATGTCGAACTCTTTTGTGACCCCCTTGGACTGTAGCTGACCAGGCTCCTCTGCTCATGAAATTTTCCAGGTAGAATACTGGAGTGGGTTGACGTTTCCTACTCCAGAAATTGTGCGTTTTTATATTAACGAATCAAAAGTGCCTTTTGTATAAAAATATAATATTCAGGTATGTTTATTATATCCATTTTTTCTATTATATATTGTATTCCTTTTTCTTGCAATTTGTTCTCAAACATATTGTATATGACCCTAGTTAAATATATTCACAATATATATTTTGGAGGCAATGACCTGGATATTTTAGGGCACTGCACAGGTAGCGAGTTGCTCTGTGTAATAGCTGTTAATGTAAATGGAGAATATTTCATTTATTAATATTTAAATTTTATTTGTAGAAGGTGGTCTTTTAGAATTTTTATGCTGCTTCATGGGTACATAGTTTTATAGGAGGTATTTAAAAGAACATTTTATTTTTTAAAAAGCTTTTATCACATTTGCTATTTTCTCTGTTATATTTGTTTCTGAATTTGAAACTGCCACTCATTGCGATTATTCATTAAATAAGTTCATTTTGGATTATTCATTGTTGTAATATATTTTTTCAGATTTTTTAGCATTCATTTATATTTAACAAGTATGTATAACATATGTATAGTATAATATTTTCTCCTCAGTTAATGAGGCACCAGTAAGTATTTTTAATGATAATTGCTATGTGCTTTGGTGTCATGGTTGACATATACACTTTTGATAGGTAACAAGTTTTTACAATGAGTGTTTTTACATAAGTTGTTTGAAAACTGGGTGCCCTAAAAGTAAGTGGAATTACCTCAGATCACTTTATCTTTACTAAAGAATCATTCATTTTGTGTTTGCAAAGGTTTCAATATCATGATTGGGAATTTTCATAACTCCTTTTTATGTCAGTACTAGTTTGGTGTAATATCACATATTTAACATGATATATTTACTTATGAATTGTAATGAATAGGATTACTTATGGTTCTTTATATCTTGTAGATATCTCTGATATGCATGTTATCAAGAAATTACAACTAAATGCAAACATTTATAGAGGAGAAGGATTCCAAACAGTGATACTAGGAAGACACAAAAGGAATAAAATTGAAGATTTTTACCTCAGGGAAATCCAGGAAAATATGTGTGACTTTGAGTCTCAGCCAAGAGATGAGGAAAGAAATTACAAAGGAAAACGTGTATCCCATGACAAAAATCTCCCCTGTAAGAGACAGCGACATGGTAGACGCTTTGCAGGAATTCAGCCTATTGAAAACAGACTTCCATTAAACTTTGGGAATGAACTGCAGCTTTGTAAAAGTGAACAGAAAATTGATGAATTTAATGATGCTCACAGGAGTATCAACATTAATGCCTCATTTTCACCACTTCAAGGAATTTCTTCTACTATCCAGTCCAGCCTTGGTAATCCATGTGTGAATGATTTTATGCATCCTTCAATACTGACACAAGACCAGAGGGCACACAAGGACAGCCTTTACAGTTGTAATCAGAGTGGTCAAACCTTTCATCAATGCTTAAACTTCACTCAACATCAGTTGATCCATACAGAAGAGAAAATCTTTAATTGTGATGTATGTCACAAAGTCTTTAGTCAACATTCAGACCTTGCTATTCATCAAACAATTCATACTGCAGAGAAATCTTACAAATATAATGAGTGTGGCAAAACCCTTAACTGTGGATTGCACCTCAACGGACATCAGATAACCCATACAAAAGAGAACTTATATAAATGTGGTATATGTGAAAAAGTGTTTACTCAAAGTTCATACCTTACAGTTCATCAGAGAGTACATACTGGAGAGAAACCATACAAGTGTAATGAATGTGGCAAGGTGTTTAGTCAGAATTCATACCTTGCAAAACATCGCAGAATTCATACTGGAGAGAAGCCTTACAAATGTAGTGAATGTGACAAAGCTTTCAGTCAAAAAGGAAACCTTGCAAGTCACCAGAGAATTCATACTGGAGAGAAACCTTATAAATGTAACGAATGTGGTAAGATGTTCAGTATTAGATCAACCCTTGTCAGTCACCAGATCATTCATACTGGAGAGAAACATTACAAATGTAATGAGTGTGGCAAAACTTTTTATTTTGGCTCACACCTCATACAACATCAAATCATCCATTCAGGAGATAAACCATATAAATGTGACATCTGTGGGAAAGTCTTTGGTCAAAATTCATACCTTGCAGTTCATCGGAGAATTCATACTGGGGAAAAACCTTACGAATGTAAAGACTGTGGCAAAATCTTTAATCACAGCTCAAACCTCAAGAGACATCAGATAATCCATACAGGACAGAAATTATGTAAATGTGATATATGTGGCAGAGTCTTCAGTTATAATTCATACCTTGCAATTCACCGGAGAACTCATACTGGAGAGAAACCTTACAAATGTAATGAGTGTGGCAAGGTCTTCAATCGGAATTCAAATCTTGCAATTCATCAGAGAATTCATACTGGAGAGAAACCTTACAAATGTAATGAGTGTGGCAAGGTCTTCAATCGGAATTCAAATCTTGCAATTCATCAGAGAATTCATACTGGAGTTAAACCTTACAAATGTAATGAGTGTGGCAGCTGCTTTAGTCGAAAGGCGTACCTGGCAAAGCATCAAAGTGTTCATACGAAAGGAAAACCTTACAAAAGTAAAGACTGTTGAAAAGCCTTTACTTAAATCTCAGCCGTCACTACATTTGTTGTTGTTCAGTTGCTAAGCCATGTCTGACTCCTTGCAAACCCATGGGCTGCAGCACACCAGGCTTCCCTGTCTTTTGACTGTCTCCTGGGGTTTGCTCAAACTCATGTCCATTGAGTCAGTGATGCTGTCTTAACTATCTCATCCTCTGTTTCCCTCTTCTACTTTTGCCTTCAGTCTTTCCCAGCATCAGGTGCTTTTCTAATCAGTCAGCTCTTCATATCAGGTAGCCAAAGTACTGGCTTCAGCTTCAACATCAGTCCTTCCAATGAATGTTCAGGGGTGATTTCACCTACTCTAACTGGACAGAAGCTCTAGACATGTATATTCAAATTCATACCTGGAGGTGAACTGATGTTTCATGTTGGAGAGAAACCTGACAAATACAATGATGGATAAATTTGTCAGTGTACTGTGAAGCCTACCTTCCTGTCAGGTAACTCACATTGATGACAAACTTTAAGGAAGTGTTTTTAGCAGGTGTTGCCATCTTAGGCTTCATTGAAAATATCATTCTGGAGAGAAATCAGATAAGTGTGTTTAGTCTGACCAGCCCTTTAGACAAAGAATTCATTGACCAAAGATTTCTTTCTGGAGATTATTACCTCACAAATGTTAGGAATCGGCAAAACCTTTGCTCGTGGCTCACATTCTACCAGTCATCAAATAATCTGTGCTGGACAGAACATTACACATGTAATGAATGGGGCAAGGTTCCAAATTAATGCTCTTTCATCACTGGATATTGGAATATTTATCCTGGAGAGAAACCACAGAAATGTAATATGTGTGGCAAGGATTTTACCCAAAGATTATAAGATGGGGGAGTTACTGGAATTATCCCTTACAAATGTAACAAGTGTGGCAAAATCTTCACCTTGAGTTCAAGTATGAGGCAACAGGGGAGAGTCCATTGAAGAAAAACCCTACCGAGTTATGAACAGAGGTTTTATCCAGGCTGCACAATTCATCAGACTTCTCAATACATACCTTTGAAGGAAACCACACAAACTAATATGTGTGCTAAGGCTTGTACCTGAAGATAAAATCACTGAAATAGATTTAATCTGGAGAGCAGAGTTTCAAATATAATGTTATAAAAGTTTTCATCAGTTGTCTCCAACTTTGGTGTAATGGTTCAATTCATACAGGTCAGAAACTAAAGAGATTTACTGAACGTGGAAAGAATTTGATGAAGCAATGCTTCCTGAGGTTTCATCACAAAATGCCTCATATTGGGGATGATCCTTACAAATGTAACAAAGTAGGTAAAGTTTTTGCACAGTTCTTAAATTAGCCTGTGTGTCAGCCAATCCATAAAAGGAATAAGTCTGCAGTTCTCTTAAGATTAATGGGAGATCGTTACAAGTCACAATAAGTTAAAATTTATGGAATGATTTGTATATGACATGAAAACATATGTATAAATTGGCAATTGTCTTCACTCTGTAAATATTCTACTAATTGTGTTTTCTTGAAGAGGCCACATTACAGTTTATGCCATTCAACCTGAAGTTTGAAGTCTGTTGACCTTAATCTTCATTACAGGTCTTTGATGATGGTCTCTGGGAAGGAGTCAGTAAGGAGTCAATGAAGGAGCCAACTTCATTGGGTTTGGTTCATCCACATCCACGTTCCCTGGAAAAACAAGGACCCTGAATTACCAAATTCAGTAGTGTATTAATTAGCAACAGGGAGGGGCAGAGAATAGTGTAAAATTGTTGTTGCCCATCGTGCTTGTTAGGTTGAGGGTCTATCCATGGATAGAGCACAGTGAGTTACAGAACATAATCCTCTGCTAGGTGACCATGAGCAGAGCAGTAAGGACATTGAGGGATGGGACTGTTCATGAGAGGAGAGGGAAGGTTACTAGGGATGGATTATGTGGTAGGAACAGTGCCCAGAAAATGTTGGTTAGTTTCTCCATTGCATGGTGAGTAGGTGGTGTTTACATCTCTGTGTGTGTGTGTGTGTGTGTGTTTTTGCTGTACCATGTGGCACATGTGATCTTGGTTAACCAGGGATCAAACCTGTGCCCACTACAGTGGAAGCACAGAGTCTTAACCCCTGGACTGCCAGGGGAGTCCCTGCATCTGTGTTTAATGAGACATGAGTCTTAATCTTGGGAATTGTAGGGAGAGCAGTTAAGATGAGAGGAAAATTTAATTACTGGGATGAGCCTTCGTGGAGGGCAGGCTTAACAGTTTGAACCTCCAGTTTGTCTCAAAGGAGCACTCAGGCTTTTTTTCCCTTTAATTAGTTTGTTCCAATAGGCTGAAAAAGAAAAAGTTCTTCCTGAACATTGAAAAGTGTCAATAGTCAGACATCAAAAATGAAATTAGGGGAAATTCCCTGACAGTCCAGTGGTTAGGACTCAGTACTCGCACTGCCAAACTGACAGGTTCAATCAATGGTTAAGAAACTAAGAGCCCATAAGCCAAAAAAAATATTTTTTAATGGGATTAGACTTCAGAGAACTTAACTGAAGCAGACCCCTCTCACCTGCCAACTAGTGTGCCTCACAAGCGTCCTATATTAATAAGTCTGCTCCTTCTTTGCCTGCCACTTTGCTGAATTCCTTCTGTGCTGAGACACAAAGAACCTGAGCCTCAGTAAGTGCAGGCTCCAGATACTGAAACCCCCATCAGGTGGGAGACACTAAGCCTGCTGCCCACCAGCATGGAGAACCCAGAGCAGTTGGAGCCAGGTTTATGATGCTGACTGCCACTTACCTCACCACCAGCCAATCAAAGAAGAGTTCACGACCTGACCACACCCACTTTGAGCCATTACTATAAAACTCACTACCCCCTCTTGAGACACACAGTTTTGAAGGCATTAGCCCACTGTGGCCCCTTTGCTTGGCAAAGCAATAAAGCTAAACTTATCTACTTTGGAGAAAAAAAAAGCAAAACACCCATTTGCTTACTCCTGAAACTTCTGACTTAATTGGCTTGGAAAATTACACTTTTCGTCTTGGTAATAATTTATTACATTTGTTTTCCACAGCACATGTTCAGTGTGGTTCTGTAAAATACTTGTAAGATACTATTTAAATAAACTTCTGGAGATATTTTTACTCTAGTTTTAATTAATTTTTGGAAATGCTGACTAGATAATGTAATGAAATAATTTACACGATTTTCCAAATGCTGTTAAATTTCAGTTTCAAATTATGCTATTACCTGATATGTGTTGTTTACTTTTATGCTGTAATAAATACTTTCAGTCATTTCTTTAGCAGAATTTTTTCCTGACAGATGTGTTTGTCCTGTTTTATAGCAGTGGTTACTAGGTTTTGGGACTCTTAAGGATGCAATGATGCTCAAAAGGCAATGATGGGTACAAAGTAGATGCAGTATAAACATAAAAATAATTAGTTTGGGGCTTTAATTCAGTGAAAGAACTGAGATGGCAAAAGCATGACAGGAAATCTTTTTTGTGGGACACCCAATATCCTCCACATAGAATTTGTTCACAGCCAAGAATAATGTATTTATCTTTGCTAAGTGATCTTGATTTTGATTTATATTATCATTTTTGGTGAGCTGCATAGGTTGCAGGATCTTAGCTCCTTAACCAGGGATTGAACCTGGGCCCCACAAGTAAAAGCAATGAGTGCTAACCCTGGACCACCAGGGAATTCCTTTATTTATGCTATCTTTAATATGAATTCTTTATGTTACATTTCTATTACTAATATTTTATGATGGAATTTTGAATCTTCATGGAGGATCTGAATCTTCATGGGGGATTTAATTATTTACTTTCTCTTTTTCTGTTTTCTGGTTGTCTAGTTTTGTTTCCTAGTAATTCTGGCCTCATAAATTGAGTTGAAGGTGCTTCTGTTTCTTTTCTTGAAAAGAAATCACATAGAATTGCCAGTAATTCTTTTTAAATTTGATAGAATTGTAAAATGCTGTTGTTGCAACTTTGTTAAATTACCTGTTGTAAAGTAGAGCCCCTGAGTGTTGAATGTTAGGCAACAGTTCTGCAGAAGACTCCCGACGGAGAGTGAAGTGGAGATGTTTATTACACAGAATCTTGAGGAGCTACAAGGTACATCTGGAGGGAACATGTAGAAAGTCCAGGCAGGGTCTATGCAGAGCATGATGGAGGAGTTTAATTAAGCTCTCACAGTCACTATCTCTGCTTTTGAGTTTCTTTCTTAGGTGGTGGGCATTTTGAAATTATAAATTTCCAGTGCAATTCAAGGCAGTTATTCAAATAATGTTTAACATTGGTGATTTGTTATAGGTTATGGGTTTCATGGAATTAGTGCATTTCATCTTATAATCTTGTTGAGTTTTTGTAAGAGTTCCTTTCTATCTTTTTCATGTCTGCATGGTCTGTAGTAATATTCCCTATTTTATCTAATATCAGTAATTTTGTTTAGTGTAAACAAAGAAGGGAAAAGTCACTTCTGGTAGACGCTGCAGTTATTTATATATAGTAATATTATGTACAGCCATTTATCAACCTTCTGTGAGATCATATGTGTCTGCCCTTTGATATCAAGTTTGGTCATTAGACTAAGGCAAACCTCCCTTTCACTTGAGAGGATTTGCACTTCTTTGCCCATTTCATGCAAGCTTGTCTTTTTGAGTTCTGGGCCAATTTGGTATGAATGGAGAGGCATGTTTCAAGTTTAAATGGAAGCTTTCATAGCTTTTATTTGCTTCATGTAACCCTGTCTTTATTTTCTTGAGCTCCAAAATCACTGCAGATGATGACTGCAGCCATGAAATTAAATGGCTCTAGCTCCTTGGAAGAAAAGCTATGACAAACCTTGATAACATAGTAAAAAGCATAGACATTACTTTGCGGACAAAGGTTCATCTAGTTAGAGCTAAGGTTTTTCCAGTAGTCGTGTGGATGTGAGAGTTGTACCATAAAGAAGGCTGAGTGCAGAAGAATTGGTGCTTTTGAACTGTGGTGTTGGAGAAGACTCTTGAGAGTCCCTTGGACTGCAACATCAAACCAGTCAATCCTAAGTGAAATCAGCCCTGAATATTCATTGGAAGGACTGATGCTGAAGCTGAAACTCCAATATTTTGGCCACCTGATGCAAAGAACTAACTCATTGGAAAAGACCCTGGTGCTGGAAAGATGAAAGGCAAAGGGAGAAGGGGGACGACAAAGGATGAGATGGTTGGATGGCATCATTTGACTCAATGGACATGAGCTTGAGCAAGCTCCGGGAGTTAGTGATGGACAGGGAACCCTGGTGTGCTGCAGTCCATAGGGTTGCAAAGAGTCAGACATGAATGAGTGACTGAACCCTGTCTTCTCTCTGCTTCAAGAATGGCCTTGGGGGAAAAAAAAAAAGAATGGCCTTGGATAGACCGAAATTTTATGCCGAATTTCAGAATTTTAGATACAAGAAGTGAATAGTGACAGATGGTAAGAGGAAGTCTGGAGGGTGAGCTGTGTGATTTGATGCATCCTCTGCCCCTTCTAAATCTATGAACACTTAGTCTTTACTTTCCTTGTAGCAATGTGACTGCTGAGTGATCAAAAGAAGGGTGAAGGTTTTAAAACCCTTTTCATTTTTAGATTTTGTCTGATTTTTAGTAAAACGTTAGTCTCATATTTTCCCTAATATTAGCTACTAGTTAAATGGCCATCATAGTTTTAAAAAGAAAAATTAATTTCTTCAATATCCCATTTCCACCCATATTCCACCTAAATGGGAAATATCCCATTTCTCTTTTCTATAACAAAGAAAAGGTGAAAAGATGGGAGGGAGAGAGCATGTCAGTGCAGTTTGTTATTTATCCTGATAGTATAACATGCAATGAGTGATGCTTATTAAACTTACTGCTATTGCCCTTTCCAGTGCCCTTTTAAGGCTGACGCAGTGCCTTAAGAGGCTAACACAGGAGGGTAATTACAAGTCTCCATAAAACCCAGAGAAGAGACTTAGAACTCCTCTCTGGATCCTGTCTGGAGTCACAACTGAACTGGAAGATTTTAAGTTTTAGCACTTACTAGTATGTGTATAGTTAATACCAAAGTCATTAAATTTAAACTTGACCTTCAAAAAATAAATAAAACTTACTGCGATAATTATTTCAGTCTCTGTAAGAATATCATGCTTTGCAAATTAAACACACAGTCATGTAAGTCAGGTATATCTCAAACTGGAGTTGGGAGCGGATATGATTTTAAAAGGCAAGCAAAACACTTGAGCAAAAAGAATGCAATTTATAAGATTTTTGTAAATATTGCATTTTTAAAATGTATTGCAGTGATTAGTGACAGAAATTACTACATGCCATGGTGCTCCAGTCTCAGATGCTAGGTTATGTCCCTGAGGCTCTGGAACCAAGGCGTTGAGTTAGTCGTCCTGCCAGAATGAGGATTATAGAAAGGGAAAAGCATTCTGTGAGTGGTCGGTGTGAAATGGCCCACTCTTCAGTGGGAGACTTCCATCACTCGTTCTAGTTTTGTAATACAGAGGGGCATGTCAGCTTCTTGTTTCCTTAAACTGTTCGGTTCAGTCGCTCAGTCGTGTCCGACTCTTTGCGACCCCATGGACTGCAGCACACCAGGCCTCCCTGTCCATCACCAACTCCCGGAGTTTCCTCAAACTTAACGTCCATTGAGTCGGTGATGCCGTCCTACCATCTCATCCTCTGTCGTCCCAGCTGCTCATGCAACATCAAACCAGTCAATCCTAAGTGAAATCAGCCCTGAATATTCATTGGAAGGACTGATGCTGAAGCTGAAACTCCAATATTTTGGCCACCTGATGCAAAGAACTAACTCATTGGAAAAGACCCTGGTGCTGGAAAGATGAAAGGCAAAGGGAGAAGGGGGACGACAAAGGATGAGATGGTTGGATGGCATCATTTGACTCAATGGACATGAGCTTGAGCAAGCTCCGGGAGTTAGTGATGGACAGGGAACCCTGGTGTGCTGCAGTCCATAGGGTTGCAAAGAGTCAGACATGAATGAGTGACTGAACCCTGTCTTCTCTCTGCTTCAAGAATGGCCTTGGGGGAAAAAAAAAAAGAATGGCCTTGGATAGACCGAAATTTTATGCCGAATTTCAGAATTTTAGATACAAGAAGTGAATAGTGACAGATGGTAAGAGGAAGTCTGGAGGGTGAGCTGTGTGATTTGATGCATCCTCTGCCCCTTCTAAATCTATGAACACTTAGTCTTTACTTTCCTTGTAGCAATGTGACTGCTGAGTGATCAAAAGAAGGGTGAAGGTTTTAAAACCCTTTTCATTTTTAGATTTTGTCTGATTTTTAGTAAAACGTTAGTCTCATATTTTCCCTAATATTAGCTACTAGTTAAATGGCCATCATAGTTTTAAAAAGAAAAATTAATTTCTTCAATATCCCATTTCCACCCGTATTCCACCTAAATGGGAAATATCCCATTTCTCTTTTCTATAACAAAGAAAAGGTGAAAAGATGGGAGGGAGAGAGCATGTCAGTGCAGTTTGTTATTTATCCTGATAGTATAACATGCAATGAGTGATGCTTATTAAACTTACTGCTATTGCCCTTTCCAGTGCCCTTTTAAGGCTGACGCAGTGCCTTAAGAGGCTAACACAGGAGGGTAATTACAAGTCTCCATAAAACCCAGAGAAGAGACTTAGAACTCCTCTCTGGATCCTGTCTGGAGTCACAACTGAACTGGAAGATTTTAAGTTTTAGCACTTACTAGTATGTGTATAGTTAATACCAAAGTCATTAAATTTAAACTTGACCTTCAAAAAATAAATAAAACTTACTGCGATAATTATTTCAGTCTCTGTAAGAATATCATGCTTTGCAAATTAAACACACAGTCATGTAAGTCAGGTATATCTCAAACTGGAGTTGGGAGCGGATATGATTTTAAAAGGCAAGCAAAACACTTGAGCAAAAAGAATGCAATTTATAAGATTTTTGTAAATATTGCATTTTTAAAATGTATTGCAGTGATTAGTGACAGAAATTACTACATGCCATGGTGCTCCAGTCTCAGATGCTATGTTATGTCCCTGAGGCTCTGGAACCAAGGCGTTGAGTTAGTCGTCCTGCCAGAATGAGGATTATAGAAAGGGAAAAGTATTTTGTGAGTTGTCGGTGTGAAATGGCCCACTCTTCAGTGGGAGACTTCCATCACTCGTTCTAGTTTTGTAATACAGAGGGGCATGTCAGCTTCTTGTTTCCTTAAACTGTTCGGTTCAGTCGCTCAGTCGTGTCCGACTCTTTGCGACCCCATGGACTGCAGCACACCAGGCCTCCCTGTCCATCACCAACTCCCGGAGTTTCCTCAAACTTAACGTCCATTGAGTCGGTGATGCCGTCCTACCATCTCATCCTCTGTCGTCCCAGCTGCTCAAGTGAATTGTAATTGCCTCACAGAATCGGACACGACTGAGCATCTTCACTGGCGCAGCAACCACTCGGAGCCGCACTTTTCCAACCACCGAATTGCTTGCTCCTGGAGACCACAGCGTGCGACCACAGCCTGCTGGCAAAAGCAGGTTTTACTGTAACCATTCTCCATTTCTTAGGAGTTGACAGATTAGCTTCCCACCAAGGTAGCCTACACGGCTGTACGCTTTTACTCCCAAAGGTTCAAGACAGTAAGGTAACAGCACATTCGGGGCTCCTGGGAGGCGCCGGGTCCCGCCTGCCCTCCCGGGTCTGGGTTCACGCGCGGCCCGCACCCACCCTGAGGCCGACGCCCCGCCCAGCCTCGCCGGAGGCCCTGCCTCTAAGTCCGCGCGTGCGCAGTTGATTACGGAACGGGAAGCGCGGATCGCCGAGTGAGCGTTCAACCGCCGCGGGTTAAACGTCTGCTTTCCGTGTGAATTCCTGCTGCGCTGCTCCATCACGCACACCTCGGGGGCTTTGGAGTGACTAGATACCTGACATCTCAGCACTTGGCCCTTCCACCCCCAGGTAAATCCAGAAGTCCCCGTGTAGGTCGGGTGTTTGGGGTTTGGATTCGTCCGGAGGTCGGTCCCCTGCCTTGGCTCTTCTGCCTTCAGTCCACGTAGAAGCCGCCTTTCGCTGCATTTTCCGGCTGAAAAACCCGTTAGTCCCTCCCTCCGCAGTTAAGTCCTCTTTTGCCGGGCGGATTGGCGCCCCTCTCCTCCCAGCCTGCTCTCTGGAGCTCTGGAGGGCAGCGCTGGCCTTCCCGCCCAGGAAGAGGCCCCGTTCTCCTGGCGGGACCTGGTGAAGCTCTTTTGTGTCGTTGGTGGCGGTGGAAGGGGTCGCCGCCGAGCTTCCACACTACAGCCCTTTCAGTCTCAGTGCAAAAAAAAAAAAAAAAAAAGAGGCAAAGTGATAGATAAGCGATTTATTAGAATAGGAAGTTTGTGAGTCTTACAAGTGGGCAGCCGAGAGGATGCAAAGCCCAGGAACTTGCCGGGCTACAGCTTTATCATCAGAGGGAACGTGGCGGGGGCGGGGAGAAGACTTTCCTTGTCTGTCTTGAGTAGATGCCAGCCTTCCTGCATCAGTCCCTCCAACAGGTTGGGCAGGGGAGTTTTTTGTTGTTCCTACCTGGTCAAGCTAGCTTCACAAATTAGTGCTTTTTATGTGTGCACAGAGCGTGTGGTAATTTATTGGGCTCACTGAGCAGGATGTGGGGTTCATGCCACCCTTGTTACGATGTTTCGGGGTCCTCTTGAGCATCTGTTGAATAGCTTTGTTGCTAAGCAAGCGCGCTTGCTTGAGTAATCATTAACTTGCAGGAGTCTCCGGTTTGTATTCTACTGACAATCCCCTAGTGGGATTAACTAGTTAATCACCTACTTTGTCCCTTCCCTCCCCTCCCTATCTCTGGGATTTAGGACAGCCCGCCCCTCTCTGTCCTCCCATCTCCCCAGGCCAGTCCTTCTACCCAGCAAGCCTCCCCTTGTAATGGGAGGTGACCTGAGCTAGCCTTGTGACATACAGTGGTCTTTGTTCCAAATTCCACACGATGGAAAAAGTTGTTTTGTTTTGTTTTTTTTTGTAGGCAGATGTCTTACTCAGTCCTGTAAATACGTGGGCCAGAGGGCTCAGGAGAAGCAGAGGATGAGCAACTGAGAAAAACTGAGAATGAGAAAAGGATGAGGGAGAATCCATAGGGATAGAAACTGTGTGCAAGGGACTTGTAAGAAGAGTGAAATGAAAGCGATTAAGCATTGAAAATAGCAGGTGAATAAAGTAAATTTTTTAAAAGTTGTATCTCCAGGAATGGGAGATACCAAGTTAAAAAAAAAGCACAATGTGAGGTTTGCAAGTAAAGTTTTATCTGGGGCAAAATGAGGGCTGCAGTCCAGGAAACAGCACTTCACATAGCTCTGAGAAACTGCTGCAAAGATTCAGGGGAAAGGTCAGTATATAGAGTTTGGTGAAGGGGGATTACATGCAATCAAGCACATATTTTTTTCCAGAAGTTTTCTACTACTCTTGTGAAGATTTGCTAATCACAAGGAACAGTCATCACTATGGAGGACTTTAGTGCTTTTCTAGATTTGGGGAGATACAAGAATTGGGCTCAGAAAATCGGCTCCTGAAAATATCTATCTGAAGACCTGTTGTGCCAGTTTGTCCCCAAACCACAGATGCCTCATTTCTGCTCTCCACTGTGAACTCCTTTCAGGAGGTATTGTAGGTCAGCAGCTGCAGCAGCACATGAATTAATCATTGTAGAGGTAGATAGGTAGATTGTTATTGTTTAGTTGCTAAGTCTTGTTTGACTCTTTGTGGCCCCCAGGACTGCAGCGTACCAGGCTCCTCTGTCCTCCACTATCTCCCGAAGTCTGCTCAAACTAATACTTATTGAGTCGGTGATGGTGTCAAACCTTCTCATTTTCTGCGGCATCAGGGTCTTTGCTGATGAGTTGGCTCTTGCCATCAGGTGGCCAAAGGAACTTCAGTTTCAGCATTTGTCCTTCCAGTGAATATTCTTGGTTGACTTCCTTTAGGATTAATTGGCGTGATCTCCTTGCAGTCCAAGGGACTCTCAAGAGCCTTCTCCAGGACCACAGTTCAGAAGCATCAATTCTTTGGTGCTCAGGCTTCTTAATGGTCCAGATCTCACATCCAAACATGACTATTGGCATGTAGGTAGATGGCAAATGCCAGTTTGTAGCTGACAGAGAGTAACATAAAGGGGCCTTGGATCAGCGGTGGGACGGGGGCACCAAAGGAGAGGCACTTCACACAGAGTGGGGTGAGAGGATGAAAGAGCTGGACACTTGGGCTGCAGAGCAGCATGATGCTGGGAGAGAAGGAGGATCAAGTGTGACCACAAGAGGAAGAGAGAGCAGGAAGGACGCATCACCACCTGGAGTGTCAGAGGAGGGGGGAGAAGGGGAGTGGAAGAGGGAGAGAAGGGGTGTAACTGGAGGGCAGAGAGAGAGCAGGGAAGGGGAAGAAAGAGGCAGAAACACAGATGGAGGACTGGCAGAAAGGGTGCAGAGACCAAGCATGTCGAGGGAAACAGTTTACAGAGTGGGGTAGGACAAATGTGAGGGAGGAAACAGGAACAGCAGGAGAGCAGAGGGGAAGAAAAGAGACAGATAAACCGACTGAAATGGAAACACCTAGTCGAGCAGGTGGGTAGTGGGAACTGGATGCAGATGGATGGTGAGTTGTTTGGTTGTCGATAAGTTGTGATGTATGATTTCTTATTTTAGAATGTAATAAAATGTCTCTTAATTGTACAGGTGAGGATGAAAATAGCAGAACTTGTGTCTTGTGCATTCTGTAATTCTTCGTATCAGATGATAACTTGTATTTGCAAACCCTATTTAGCCAGGGGGCTGCTGCTGCTAAGTCGCTTCAGTTGTGTCCGACTCTTTGAGACTCCATGAACTATAGCCCTCCAGGCTCCTCTGTCCGTGAGATTCTCAAGAATACTAGAGTGAGTTGCCACGCCCTCCTCCCAGGGGATCTTCCAACCCAGGGATGCATCTGTTATGTCTTCAGCATTGGCAGGCAGGTTCTTTACCACTAGCGCACCCAGTGATTTGATGTACTCAGTTGTGAGTCACCCCCTTCCCTTTGCTTGACGTGGGGCAGAGGAGTAGGAGAGGACAAATGGGGCAAGGAATGTTTGAATCTGTCACTGCATGGTGCCTTTTAAAAGGAACATTGAGGACTTTCCTGGTGGTCCAGTGGTAAAGGATCTGCCTGCCAAGGCAGGGGACACAGGTTCGATCCCTGGTCCGGGAAGATCCTACATGCTGTGGGGTGACTAATCCTGTGTGCTGAAACAAGAGAAGCCCCCACTATGAGAAGCCCACACACCACAACTAGAGAAGAAAGCCTGATCACAGCAATGAAGACCCAGCATGGCCAAAAAATAAGTAAAGAAAAAGTCAATTAAAAAAAAAGGAACATTAAGAATGTTCCTTTTTGTGATGGGCTTACTGTTTTTTCTTATATCTTTACATATAATTCTTTTTGTAGCTTGGAAAAAATTTTAGTTTATTCAGTTTCTGCTTCCCTGGAAATGATCATTAACTTTAGTTAATAAGCTTTGGTGCTCTTTTATAATTAAATCATTCTTTAAATAGTAATATAATACATTGTGATATTTTTAAAACACTGACACCACAAATATTAGATGATAAAAATTCATTCTTTTGAAAATGTGTTTCAGGTTTCTTGGAGGCCTGCTTGCTTTCTGCTCTTTCCCTTTGTACTGGAAAAGCTCTTTGGTATGTAATAAATAATTTTAGACCGTTTTGGTGGGTACTTGGTTAAGTTGTCAGTGATCTTTTAATAGACAAATCCTAGTTTTACCAGTTAGTCTAATGTTTTGTTTTCTCCCTTTTTGTGTGTCCTGCTAAGAGGAAGAGGAGGAAACAGAACAGGAGTCAGAAATGGCTCTTTCTCAGGTAAAGTCATATTCTCAGCCTGTCCTTCAAATGCCCTTTTTTGGATAACTTTAGTTAATAAGCTTTGGTGCTCTTTTATAATTAAATCATTCTTTAAATAGTAATATAATACATTGTGATATTTTTAAAACACTGACACCACAAATATTAGATGATAAAAATTCATTCTTTTGAAAATGTGTTTCAGGTTTCTTGGAGGCCTGCTTGCTTTCCACTCTTTCCCTTTGTACTGGAAAAGCTCTTTGGTATGTAATAAATAATTTTAGACCGTTTTGGTGGGTACTTGGTAAAGTTGTCAATGATCTTTTAATAGACAAATCCTAGTTTTACCAGTTAGTCTAACATTTTGTTTTCTCCCTTTTTGTGTGTCCTGCTAAGAGGAAGAGGAGGAAACAGAACAGGAGTCAGAAATGGCTCTTTCTCAGGTAAAGTCATATTCTCAGCCTGTCCTTCAAATGCCCTTTTTTGGATTCTCTATTCTTCCCTGGCTCCAAAGTATCCTGCCTGACACTTGTACATTCATCCTCTATTTTAAGAATATTTTGGCTGTTTGCTGGCTCTTGAGATTCCCTATGAATTCAGGAATGATTTTTTTTTCTTTAACTGCAAAAAAGGCATAGGAATTCCTTAAATCTGTATACAGTGCCTCCTTTGTAGAACCCTGGAGTCCTAACCACTGGACCACCATGGAAGTCTCTCTTTGGGTCTTTTTTTTTTTTTAAAGAAAATTTTACAATGAAATTTTATTGGCTTGACTTTTGTAGTTTGCTATTCTAAGGAAAGAAAATGTTATCTGTTTTTAATCAGCTCGACTGCCTCTTAATGTCCATTGAAAATTTATAGGGGTATTCCAGGTCTTGCTGGGTTGCAAATGAAGGAATTTTTTTAATCATATATTTTTATTTGCATTTTTAAATATTTATTTATTTGGCTGCACTGGGTCTCAGTTTCAGCATTGCAGGATCTTCAGTTTTTGTTGCAGCATTCAGGTTCTTTAGTTGCAACATTCGAACTCTTTGTTGCAGCGTGTGGGAGCTAGTTCCCTGATCAGGGATGCAACCTGGGCTCCCTGCATTGGGAACATGGGGTCTTAGCCACTGGACCATCAGGGAAGTCCCGTCCATTTTTTTAAATTTATTTTTAATTGGAGGATAGTTGCTTTGCAATGTTGTGTTGGCTTCTGCCATACAAGAATCAGCCATGGGTATACATATATCCCCTCCCTTGGGAGCCTCCCTCCCAGCCTAATTTGGTCATTTTAAAAGCATAAAGTTCCCACTTCAGGGTGTGTTTCTATTTATATATATCTCCAGGGACTTTTGTTTTAAAGAAAGTTTAGTACTTTTCAGTGTAGAGGTCTTGCACCTACTTGTCTGATCTTTTTCCTAAGTTTTCTATGGGATTGTTCTCTCATTTTCTGTCGAAATGGTTCATTGTGTGTAGATAGAAATGCAGGTGATTTTCATGTGCTGATATTTTATGCTACAACTTTTCTAAATCTTTTCAAAAAATTTATTTTGTTATTTATTTATTTTTGACTGTGCTGGGTTTCCTTGGCCACACTATGTTTCTGTTGTTGCAACCAGGCTTTCCCTAGTTCAGGCGGCACGGAGCCTATTCTTCAGTTGCAGTGCTCAGGCTTCACAAGGCAGTGGCTTCTCTTATTGTGGAGCACATTTGAGCATTACCTTGTTAACATGTGAAATGAGTGCAGTTGTACAGTAGTTTGTACATTCTGTGGCACTGTCATTTGGGATTGACCTTTTCCAGTCCTTTGGCCACTGCTGAGCTTTCCAAATTTGCTGGCGTATTGAGTGCAACACTTCCACAGCATCATCTTTCATGATTTGAAATAGCTCAGCTGGAATTCAATCACCTCCACTGGCTTTGTTTGTAGTAATGCTTTCTGAGGCTCACTTGACTTCACATTCCAGAATGTCTGGCTCTAGGTGAGTGACCACACCATCGTGGTTATCCAGGTTGTCAAGAGCCTTTTTGTATAGTTCTTCTGTGTATACTTTCCACCTTAATCTCATCTGTTTCTCTTAGGTCATTGCCATTTCTGTCCTTTTATTGTGCTCATCCTTACATGAAATATTCTGTCTCCAATTTTCTTGAAGAAATCTTTAGTCTTTGCCATTCTTTTGTTTTCCTCCTTTTCTTTGCATTTGTCACTGAAGAAGGCTTTCTTTCCTCTCCTTGCTATTCTGTGGAACTCTGCATTCAAGTGAGTATATCTTTCCCTTTCTCGCTTCTCCTCTTTTCTGAGCTCTTTGTAAGGGCTCTTCAGACAGCCACTTTGCCTTCTTGCATTTCGTTTTCTTGGGGATGATTTTTGTCACTGCTTCCTATACAGTGTTAACAAACCTCTGTCCATAGTTCTTCAGGCACTCTTGTTTACCAAGTCTGATCCATTGAGTCTATTCATCACCTCCAATGTATGATCATAAGGGATTTGATTTAGGTCATACCTGAATGGCTAGTGGTTTTCCCTGCTTTCTTCAATTTAAGTCTGAATTTTGCAATAAGTAGCTCTTGATCTGAGCCACAGTCAGCTCCCTGTCTTGTTTTTGCTGACTGTATAGAGCTTCTCCATCTTTGGCGGCAAAGAATATAATCAGTCTGATTTCAGTATTGGCCATCTGGTGATGTCCATGTGTAGAGTTGTCTCTTGTCTTGTTGGAAGCAAGTGTTTGCTATGACCAGTGCATTCTCTTGACAAAACTCTTTTGTTAGCCTTTGCCCTGCTTCATTTTGTACTCCAAGGCCAAACTTGCCTGATACTCCAGGTATCTCTTGACTTCCTACCTTTGCATTCTAGTTCTCTGTGAGGAAAGGACATCTTTTTTTGGTTCTAGGATGTCTTGTAGGTCTTCATGAGACCCGTTTTACTTTAGCTTCTTCAGCATTAGTGGTTAGGGCATAGACTTGGATTACTGTGATAATGAGTGGTTTGTGTTGGAAGAGAACAGAGATCATTCTGTCCTTTTTGAGGTTGCACCCAAGCACTGCATTTCAGATTCTGTTGGCTCTGCGGGCTGCTGCATTTCTTGTAAGGGATTCTTGCCCATGCTAGTAGATATAGTGGTCATCTGATTTAAATTCACCTGTTCCCGTCCATTTTAGTTCACTGATTCCTAAGATGTCAATATTCACTCTTGCCATCTCTTGCTTGAACACGTCCAATTTACCTTGGTTCATGGGCCTAACATTCCAGGTTCCCATGCAGTATTGTTCCTTATAGCCTCGGACATACTTTCACCACTAGACATATCCACAACTGAACATCATTTCTGTTTTGTCCCAGCTGTTTCATTTTTTTCTGGATTTATTAGTAGTTGTCATCCACTCTTCCCCAGTAGCATATTGAACACCTTCCAACCGGGGGGGACAAGATTTAGGGAACACAAGCCCTCCTCACACCTTAGTTTTGTCAGAGACTCCACCTTTGAATCACTGTTATAAAACCCTTCATCAGATCCTCCGGGTTGATGTTAGATGTGTACGTATTTGTAATTATTATATCTTCTTGGCAAATTTACCCTCTTCTCATTTCACAGTGTATTTTATGTCTCGTGTTAGTTTTTTTCCTTAGGTTATTTTGTCTGATATTGTGCAATAATTCCTGCTCTCTTAAGGATTGGATGTCTTTTTGCATCCTTTCACTTTGCGCCTTAGGTTTGTGAATGTTTGCAGTTCCAGCTCTGACATGCTGTGTGTCTTGCTCCCACTCTGTTTTCCTCCTGTCACTTCCTGCGTGGTCCCTGCTCAGGCATACTGTACTGTAGGCAGAGGCAGGACCCCCGGCCAGCCCCCTCCGCTGCACTGCCACTTCAGTGAGAATTCATCAAGTGTTTCCTTCTGATCATGATGTATGGAGACTTAGTCTTCCTTAATTACAATATATTTTTTCCATAACTTTTCTAAGTTTGAGTCAATGTTTTAGGAGTCAGTGTTTACAGAAATAAATACCGTGTTTTAAATTGTAGTTATATATAGGTATTCCGTGGAGGCTGTAGTTAAAGTTTCTTGCTTTTTCCTCTTGGTACCATTTAGTACAGGTGACTCTTCCATTGCTCCAAAAAGTGCTGAAATTAAAAAAAAAAAAAAATGCTAAAATTCACATATATAAAACTGATGATAAAAAATCATGCAAAAATATGTCCAGAGGGGATGGCCAGGTAATTTCCTCTATTTTATATATAGCAGAGAGTCTGTATATTTATTCCCAACCTCCTGGGAATCTTAACTGTTGTCTCAAATTTTCTTTATGTTGATTGATTTATCCTCTATATTCTTATTGTTTACTTATTGCATACCGAATCCTGCACAGACCGTTGGGAGTAAAATAGTGAATTCTGTGAACTCACTCCTTTCTCTTAAGGAATTTCAGGCTAGTTAGGGGATACATAAGAGTGTTCTGTCCCTCCTTGTCCATTTGGGTCTTACCATTCCAGTACATTCTTGACGCATCTGATGGCAAACACAGGAACAACCCTAAAAAATGAGGGATGGGGGCTTCCCTGATGGTCCCGTGGTTAAGACTCTGCACTTCCACTGCAGGGGGGCAAGAGTTTCATCCTTGGTTGGGGGAGCTAAGATCCTGCATGCCGTGCTGTGAGACCAAAAAAAAGAAAAATGAGGGCTGGATGGGAGTAAGTAAACACTAAAGCTCCCTCACCCCTTTGTGGGGGTAGCTCTGAGTTTGTTTCACAGACTTGAAGAGCATGTCCATCCACGTGGAGCTCCAGTTGCCCGTGGCTGCAACTTTCTCTTCCCCACTGGAACTTTCTGGAATGTTCCTTTCTGGACTGATGATGCTGGATATTTCTGGAATGATCTCTCAAATTATTTGCACTTGAAAAAAAAAATGTCCCTAGACACCTTCTCTCGTCTCAGTTATTTCTGTACTTATAATACATGTGTGTCCATAAGTTCATGGATCTGCAAGTCCACGGTTTTGATAAGACATTTTAAAACTATGTACTGCATTTTATTGTAGTTGAAATTATATCATAAATATATTCTGTGGCCTTCCATTTTTTTCTATACTCTCCTGTTCATGGTTCAAATAGTAATAAGATTACTAACATGTTATGTGTATGTGTTTGTGCGCCCACATCTGTAATGATCTTTTATTGCCTTCCGTGTTGTTCATTTTGACCTTATTTCAAGTTTTCTCGGGGAACCCTCTGTCAGTGTGCTTCTAGTGCTTTTTTTTTTTCTCTAATGCTCTTCTCATACTTCAATTTTTGCTTCTTTATCTTCAGTTCAAGACCACATTCTCCTTAATTGAGGTTCTTGCTGTATGATTACTTAGCTTCTTGAACTAAGTTGAGTTTCTCCAGATGTCTCTGACACTTTTGTCTCTGTAGGACAGCTTATATCTTTCTCTACTGAGAAAGAGCTATGATGTTGATTAAAAAAAAGTTCATAGCCATAAAGCATTTAGAGTATCTTTGAAGTATTCGAACACCTTTAGTCATTGTAATCATGGTTTAAGATTTTGACCTTTTTTTAAAGCACTGTTGACTGTCATTTCTGATGCCGTCACTCATAGTGTAGCTCATCTAGATACGGAATAGCAATCAGTGTATAACAAACACATACTGTAACACTTCTGGAGAAACTACTCATTATTGAAACTTATTTACTTGTATTTCATGCAGTGTCCACAAAAATGGACATTGATTTACCTCCACATTGGACATTAATCAACCTCCACATTGATTAGAGGTTATCATAATCTCTGGGTAAAAGCATAAGGAATTAAAATTAGAGACCTGTAATTTCCTCCAAATAGCTTTACTTGGATCTGTCAGAATATTACTTCAGCTGAGTTCATCCTTACCCCTCTCTCCTCTTCTCATTTTGTTTGAAAGTAAGAGCTCTCCTCATGGCCCCTTGGTGAAATGTGTTTTCATTTCAGGCACAGTTGACCTTCAAGGATGTGGCCATAGAGTTCACTCAGGAGGAGTGGGAATGCCTGGACCCTGCTCAGAGGGCCTTGTACAGGGACGTGATGGTGGAGACCCTCAGGAACCTAGTCTCCTTGGGTGAGGATGACTTCCCTCTGAAGTTGGGATCTGCCCTGGGGTATCACTGCATTTCCCACTGTGTGCCTCTTGGGAGCCCCGGTTTTACTTGACTGATCTGAAATCCCTATTGATTCCGACATGAAGAGCTTCAGGATTGCAGCATCAGGAGTTTAAATCTACCTTTTCCTCTGACGATCTGCCCACTTCATGATACATCAGGAGTTGTTCCAGAGCTTTTGTAGTTGGAGTCAATGGAAAACTTTTAATATACTCATTTCCTGTTTCCTACGCATGTACTTTTGATTTAAAATTTTAGGAAAAGACTATGTTTCTGTGCATTATACTGTTCCCTGTGTATTCAGGAGATAAACAGCAGGTGAATTTTGGAAATATTTTTCTGTTCCTCTCTGTATTCCCATGAATCTTCAGTTGAGCAGGGGACTAGGATTCTGGCAAAGCCACAGCAAATCATGTGTCTTTCCTCTTATGTGGAGGTATTTCTGTTTCTTATCTGAATATTTTACCTACCTTGTAACAGGACAAAAAAGAGCCCTGGTTGGTGCAGTGAAGTACATGCCTTTGAGGGTGTAACAGGTCATATCTTGGAAGGGCCGAGGGGAAGCCTCGTTATTAATAGTGTGTACAGACTTTCCCCTCATCTGAGAATTCTGTGTGAAGTACAAACATTTACTTCTTTTTTTTTTTTTAAACATTTACTTCTTATCTGACCTCTCAGAAAATTTTTCTTCTCTGTAACTAATCTATGGGGTGGGTTTACTGGTTGACAGATTATTTTGATGGAGAATACTATTCATCATATATTGTAATCTTTTTATGCTATATAGAAAATAACCACTTCATGCTATATTGATATGGTCTGCATATTCTACAATATGAAATAAGAAATATCCCCAGAGCCTGGCTGATAAATCTTTCCGGGTGTTTTTCTGGTTTTGAGCAATGTCACAAAAACCTGTCTCAATGGCATTGTGACAGTGATGTTCACATGTGCTATAATCATCCCCTTACATTCTCAGCAAGCAGTCTAGGGATTTCACTTCAGGATAACAGTGTCCAAGTTCCCGTTCTCGTTTGTGAGGCTGTTGTGTAAACTGTTATTGATGCCATCCTTGATCACCTGTGTGCCTTGTTCTTTTTACATCGACAGCTAATTTTAAAACATCTAAATTAGAGAACTTATGAAGTGGAATGATACTCTCAGTAGGAACCATAATTCATTTTTTGTTTAATAGTCTGTCCTTCCCCCATTGGGTGGTCCCAGATCCCCTTGTTGAACATGGGGATCCCCTTGGACCACATACACAAGAATTTATTTCTCAGGCCTCTGTTGTATGCCACCGGTCTCTCTGTCTTTGTGCTAGTACCACACTGCTTGGATTAGTTTAGGTTTCTGAGACTTTTAAAAGTAATTGTGAAACCTCCAGCTTTGTTCTTTTTAACTTTGGTTTTTCTGTTGAGTGTCTGTTTAAAAAAAAAAGAAAATTATTTGACTGCACCAAGTGTTAGTTGCAGCATGTGGGATCTAGTTCCCTGGCCAGGGATGGAACCCAGGTCTCCTACATTGGGAGTATGGTGTCTTAGCCACTGGACCACCAGGAAAGTCCTTCAGTGTCTTTTGATGTTGCATTTGAATCTTAATGATGGATTTATCTATTTCTTTAAGATACACTGTTGGGGGTTTTATTAGGGATTGGGTTGAATCTGTTAATTACTTAGAGGAGATTGGGGTCATTCAGGGTGGTATGACGTTGGACAGTTGATCACTTAGGGTAGTATTTACACCCTGACCATGTTTACTTCTAGTCCATAAACTTGCAATGTCTGCATTAATTTGTGTCCTTTGGGTTATTTTTCAGCTGTTTTTAGTTCATAGAGCATATATCTTTGCCTTTTTCTGAAAAGTTTTTCCAAGTATTTTATTTTTTTGATAATACTTTAAATGGAGTTGTTTTCTGAATTTCCTTCATGATTTTTTTTTATTGTTAATATATAGAAACAGTATTGACTTTTGTTTGTTGGTTTTGCATATTCTTTTTCTGAGTTCATTATTTCTTTTTTTTTTTTTGCAAACTATTCAAGGTGGTGTTTTGTTTTGTTTTGTTTTTGCCTTACCACATGGCGTGTGGGATCCTCGTTCTCCCAACAGGGATTGAACCCGTGCCCCTGACAGTGGAAGCGTGGAGTCCTAACCACTGAACTACAGGGAATTTCCCGGGGTTTTTTACGTATTAGAACATTTCATTTTTCAGAAGAGATGGATTTGCTTCATTTGCTATTAGGATTGGTTTTATGTCTTTTTCTTCTACTTACATGTTCTTGGTAGGAATTTCAGTAATTTTTCTTTTAGAAGTAGTGCAAACATCTTTGTTACATTCCTGGTCTTAGAGGGAAAGGTTTAAGTCATTCCCCATTGATTATGATGTTAGCTGTGGGCTTTTATTACATGTCCTTTATTGTGTTTAGGTCACTTTTTTCTCTTTCTAGTGTTTACTTTCTATCATGTTTTTTGCATTTATGCCTGAGGGAACCTCTGGGAATTGGGAGGCTTGTGCCAGTTCACTATCAGTGCAGTGTGATAAGGAAGAGGGGAGTCGAAGGCCAGGAAATTATCATGAACTTTCCTACATTTTTCAGTCTAGTGTTTTAGGACAAGCATTTGCTTGGGTGCTGCCTCTTCTTTATTGGTTTGTTGAATTTTCCCCAATTGTTTTTCGTTTATTGTTTTTAACTTGGTTCCCTCATGGGTAATGCATGCCTATGGTATACTGTCCTGCTGACGTCACTCCCTCATGGTTTTGTTTTTCTTTGCAGAGTTTGTGTTAAGAAATTTAATGATATGACTTCCAGTATTTAGACAGGCTAGTTAAAAGAACACTGTCATGTTTAATAACAAGGGATGTTGATGCAAATATTTTATATAACCAAAGTATGTTATGTAATTAATAGTTTAGTAACAAAAAAAAAGTTTAGTAACATTTTTTTCTTTCTTTACTTACTTAACTATTGTGATCATATCCTGAAATTGCTCAGGCTTTGGCAAACACTTTCTGCTATCTTTTTTTACCCATACAAGGTGTTCTTGCCTAGCCAAGAGATCTTCATTCCAAAATCATGATCTCCCTCCTTTACTTTGCTCTGTTTGTGTGTGCACAGAATTAACTGATTCATCTCCTTCTGATGGTCTTCTCCTGGTTTTCACTTCTGCTTTCTGCTAAGAACATTACTGCACAGTCTCCTGAAATATTTTTCTGTTTATTGAACATATGCATGGAAATACAGTCATTGGAATATTCAGTTTGCATAGCAAATAGTATAGTAGATTGAAAGTTAATTTCTTTCTGCAGTGTTTAAATCTCATGTGGTTCTTTCCCATACTCATGCTATAATTCCCCTAATTAAAAATGGACCAGTAGAATACTATTGCTAAACCAGTTCTTTTAAGGTCAGTGTTTTAATTGTCCTCACCCAGTTATAATCACACAGATGTGCTCCTACATATGCATATACCCTGAGCTCCAATCAGTCCCTTTTCTCAGTTCTGACCTTTCTTTATATGATCCCTTGGAGTGGATGAAAAGGTTGTTATTTCCTAACATGTTTAAATTATTCTCCTGAACTTCCCAATTTCCACTGCACTCTTTCACCACCCCTCCACCTTCCACATTACTCACACTGTATAAATAACAGCTCTGTGTATTGAACAGCTTTCTCATGACCCAACCTAAATCACTGTGTGCAGCTGTGACAACTCAGAAACCATTTCCAGGAGGGGTGGCTAAATCCCCTTAGTAGTTACACAGCCCACTTCTTGCATCTCCCTTGAAGTTTTCATCTAAAGCTCCTGATATTTGTTGCAGTATTTTGTAATATACTGCTTGGGCAAGGGTCATGTTTAAGAATATATTGTCTCAGTCTCTAGGTCACAGTTCCCATCATGGTTCTTCCTACTTTCTGTGTCAATTGGGGTCATGTACATTAATCTGTGATTCCACTTTTCCTTATGTAAAAATTGTGATAATTATCCTCAAGCCTTTAAAAAGAAATAGTATTTTTTGTTTGTTTGTTTTTAGGTGTTTTTTAAATTCTTTTGGCCCCACCGTGCTGCTTGTGCGATCTTCCTTCGAGGAATGTAACTTTGGCCCATGGCAATGAAAGTACTGAGTTCTAACCACTGTACTACTCTTAAATTCCCAGAAATAGTACAGTTTTTATATTAACAAGTCAAAATGTCTTTTGTATAAAAAGATACATGAATATTCTAGCATGTTTATTATGCTATCCCTTTTTTCCATTATATATTGTATGCTTTTCTTTTCAATTTGTTCTCACCAATATGGTGTATTAACCTAGTAAAAGGAAATTCACAAATTGTGCACTTTTTATTACATATATTTTGGAGCCAAAGAACTGGATATTTTAGGGCACTGCAGAATTAGGGAATTGCTCTATTTAATGGCTGTTAATATAAATGGAGAATATTTCATTTACTAATCTTTAATTTTGATTTCAGAAGGGCTTTCTGAATGTTTTATGCTGCTTCATGGGTACATAGTTTTACAGGAGGTACTTAGAAGAACATTTTGTTTTTAAAAAAACTTTTTTATCATATGCACCATTTTCTCTATTATTTGTTTCCCAATTTGAAACTACCACTCATTGAGATTATTCATTGAATAATTTAGTTTTGGATTATTTACTGTTACAGTAGATTTTGTCTGGTTTTTAGCATTCATTTGTATTTAACAAGTATGGCCAATATATATATATATATATATATAATATTCTTTTCTCCTCAGTTTTGAGGCACCAGTAGGTATGTTTACTCTAATTGGTATGTGCTTTGGTGTCATGGTTAAAAATTATACTTTCTTGGATTGGTAACAAAAGTTTTTCCAATGTGAGTGTTCTTATTATAGGTTGTTTGAAAATTTGTTGTTGTTCAGTTGCTAAGTCGGTTCTGTCTCTCTGTGACCCTGGGAATGCAGCACGCCAGGCTTCCTTGTCCTTCACTGTCTCCCGGAGTTTGCTCAAATTCATGTCAGTTGAGTCAGTGATACTAGCTAACCATCTCATCCTCTGCCACCATTTTCTCCTTTTGCCTTCAGTCTTACCCAGCATCAGGGTCTTTTCCAATGAGTTGGCTCTTCCCATCAAGAAGAGTGTTTGAAATTTAGATGCCCTAAAATTAAGTAAAATTATAGCAGATCAGTTTACCTTTAGTAAAGAATCATTCCATTTGTGTTTGAAAGGTTTTTATGTCATGGTTGGCAATTTTCATAACTCCTTTTTGTGTAAGTACTAGTTTGGTGTAATACCATGTTTTACATGAAATATTTATTTATGAGTTGTAATAAATAAGATACTTACAGTTTTTTGTATCTCATAGATATCTCTCATATACTTGTGATCAAGAAATTACAACTAAATGCAAAAACTGATAGAGGAGAAGAATTCCAAACAGTGATATTGGGAAGACATGAAAGGAATAAAATCAAAGATTTTTACTTCAGGGAAATCCAGGAAAATATATATGACTTTGAGTCTCAGCCAAGAGATGAGGAAAGAAATTACAAAGGAAAGCGTATAACGCATGACAAAAATGTCACCGATGAGAGAGAGGAACATGGTAGAAGTATTGCAGGAATCAAGCCTATTGAAAACAGGCTTGCATTAAGCTTTTGGGATGACCTGCATGTTTATAAAAGTGAAGAGAAGATTGATGAATTTAATCAAGCTGACAAGAGTATCAGTATTAGTGCCTCACTTTCACTACTTCAAGGAATTTCTCTCCTTGTCCAAACCAACATTTCTAATTCATATGGGAATGATTTCATGCATCCTTCAATACTAACACAAGACCAGAGCACACATATGGAAAGCCCTTACAAATGTAATCAGAGTGGCAAAACCTTACATCAGGGCTTGAACCTTACCCAACATCAGTTTATCCATACAGAAGAGAACATGTTTAATTGTGATGTGTGTCGAAAAGTCTTTAGTCGACATTCAGACCTTGCTATTCATCAAACAATTCATACTGCAGAGAAATCTTACAAGTATGACAAGTGTGGCAAAACCCTTTACCATGGGTTGCACCTCACTGGACATCAGATAATCCATACAAAAGAGAACTTATATAAATGTGATATATGTGAAAAAGTGTTTACTCAAAGTTCATATCTTACAGTTCATCAGAGAATACATACTGGAGAGAAACCATACAAGTGTAATGAATGTGGCAAGGTGTTTAGTCAGAATTCATACCTTGCAAAACATCGCAGAATTCATACTGGAGAGAAACCTTATAAATGTAATGAGTGTGGCAAGGTCTTTCATCACAAGGCCAACCTTGCAAGTCATCAGAGACTTCATACTGGAGAGAAACCTTACAAGTGTAATGAATGTGGCAGAGCTTTTAGTCAGAAAGGAAATCTTGCAAGTCATCAGAGAATTCATACTGGAGAGAAACCTTACCAATGTAATGAGTGTGGTAAGATGTTCAGTAGTAGATCAACCCTTGTCAGTCATCAAGTGATTCATACTGGAGAGAAACATTACAAATGTAATGAGTGCGGCAAAACCTTTTATTTTGGCTCACACCTCAAACAACATAAAATCATCCATTCAGGAGATAAACCATATAAATGTGATGTCTGTGGGAAAGTTTTTGGTCAAAATTCATACCTTGCAGTTCATCGGAGAATTCATACTGGGGAAAAACCTTATGAATGTAAAGACTGTGGCAAAATCTTTAATCACAGCTCAAACTTCAAGAGACATCAGATAATCCATACAGGACAGAAATTATGTAAATGTGATATATGTGGCAGAGTCTTCAGTTTTAATTCATACCTTGCAAGGCACCGAAGGACTCATACTGGAGAGAAGCCTTACAAATGTAACGAGTGTGGCAAGGTCTTCAATCGGAATTCAAGTCTTGCAATTCATCAGAGAATTCATACTGGAGTTAAACCTTACAAATGTAATGAGTGTGGCAAGGTCTTCAATCGGAATTCAAGTCTTGCAATTCATCAGAGAATTCATACTGGAGTTAAACCTTACAAATGTAATGAGTGTGGCAGCTGCTTTAGTCGAAAGGCATACCTGGCAAAGCATCAGAGTGTTCATACAAAAGGGAAACCTTTCAAAAACAAAGACTGATGAAAACCTTTCATTAGATCTCAACTATTACTCCACACCAGGTAATAAATACAAAGGGGAAATCATTTAACATGATATATGTGGGACTGTCTTCATTCATTCAAAATCGACACTGTATATTCTTGGGAAATTCATAGTGGAGAGAAATTTGCACATGTCATGAGAGTGGCAAAGCCTTGCCATTAGATAATCTGTACTAGGCAGAAACTCTAGAAATACGCTGAATGTCTCAAAGTCTCCAGTCCACATTGATAACCTTAACAGGAACTGAAGTTTCATTTTGGAGAGAAACCTGACAAGTATTATGATGAGTTTCAGAAATCATCAGTGTATTTTGAAACCTACCTTTCCATCAGGTAATCCACATTGATGAACATTAAGGTTGTGTTTTAAATTATCAGGTGTTGCCATCTTAGACTTCATTGAAAATATCATCCTGGAGAGAGAAATCAGATAAGTATGTTTAGTTGACCAGCTCTTAGACAAGGAATTCATTCACCAAAGATTTCTTTCTGGAGATTATTACCTCACAAATGCCAGGAATGGGCAAAACCTTTACTTGGGGCTCACATTCTACCCATCATCAAATAATCTGTGCTGGATAGAACATTACAGATGTAATAAATGGGGCAAGGTTCCAAATTAGTGCTCACTCATGACTTAATGTTGGAATATTTATCCTAGAGAGAAACCATACAAATATAATACGTGTGGCAAGGATTTTATCCAAAGATAAGATGGGAGAGTTACTGGAGTCCCTTAAATGCAACAAGTGTGGCAAAATCTTTACCTTGAGTTCAAGTATGAGGCACCAGTGGAGAGTCCATTGAAAAGAAACCTTACAGACATATGGGCAAAAGCTTTATCCTAACTGCACAATTCACCAGACTTCTCATATGTGTCTTTTGAGGGAAACCACACTAATATGTGCTAAGGCTTGTACCTGAAGATGAAACCTCTGAAACATAGAGGATTTAGTTTGGAAAGCAGCGTTTCACATGTAATAAATGTTGTGAAAAGTTTTTGTCAAGTAGCTCCACTTTTGATGTAATGATAGAATTCATACAGGTTAGAAATGATAGCAATTTACTGAATGTGGAAATAATTTGATGAAATGATGCATCCTGAGATTTCATCACAAAGCTCATGCTATTGGGGATAATCCTTAACAAATATAATGAATTTGGTGAATTTTTTGCATAATTCTTAAATTAGCCTACGTATCAGAGAATCCATAATAGGAATAAGTTAAGGCTTTAGTTCTCCCAAGAGTAATGTGAGATTGTTACGCACTTCAGAGTCATTAGAAGTCACAGAATGTTAAAACTTAGGAAATGATGTGTATATGACATACAGAAGAACATATGTGTAAATGGCCAAGTATCTAACTGTGTAAATGTTCTATTGAGCTTTCTTGAACTCCACATTACTATTTATGCCTTTCAACCTTAATTTTGAAGTCTGTTGATCTTACACTTTCATTACAGGCCTTTGATGATGGTCCCTGGGAAGGAGTCAGTAAGGTGAAGGAGCCGGCTTCATTAGGTGTGGTTCATTCACATCCATGTTCCCTGGAAAAACAAGGACCCTGAATTATCAAATTCAGTACTGTGTCAGCATCAGGAAGGGCTCTAGAGAATAGTGTAAAATTGCTGTTGCTCATCATGCTTGTTATATTCATGATCCATGGATTGATCACAGTGGACAGAATCCTCTACTAGGTAACTGTGAGCAAAGCAGTAAGGACATTAAGGGGCTTGACTATTCATGAGAGGAGAGGGACATTTACTAGGGATGGATTATGTCATAGGAACAGTGCCCGAAAAAAGTTGGTGTTCTCCATCGTAGGGGAATAAGTGTTATTTACATCTGTGTGTTTTGTTTTGGCCACATCATGTGGCATGCATGATCTCAGTTCCCTGGCCAGGAATCAAGCCAGTGCTGCCTAGAGTGGGCGCATACAATCCTAGCTACTGGACTGGCAAGGAAGTCCCTGCATCTGTGTTTAATGAGAAATTAGTCTTATTCTTAGTAATTGAAGGGAGAGCAGTTTATGTGAGAGGAAAATTTAATTACTGGGTGAGGCTTGTTGGAGGTGAAGCTTAGAGTTTGAACTTCCAGTTTGTCTCAAAGGAAGGCATCCTCTGGCTTTTAAAAAAAAAGTTTGTCCAGATAGGCTGAAAAAGAAGAGGTTTTTCCTGAGCATTAAAAGGTTTCAATAATCAAATAGCAAAAAAAGGAGTTGGGAATTCCATGGCGGTTCAGTTGTTAGGACTCAGTACTTTCACTGCCAAGCTCACAGGTTCAGTTCATGGTCAGGAAACTAAGATCCCGTAATCCCAGAAAAAAAAAATTTTAATGGAGTCAGACTTCATAAAACACTGAGGCAGAGCCCTCTTGCCTACCAACTTATGTCCCTCACAAGCATCTACTTCTTGCCTGTCACTTTGCTTCTTGCTGTATTCCTTCTGTGCTGAGACGCAAAGAACCTGAGCCTCAGTTAAGTCCAGGCCCCAGATACTGAAACCCCCATCAGGTGGGAGACACTAAGCCTGCTGCCCACCAGCATGGAGAACCCAGAGCAGTTGGAGCCAGAAGGTTTCTGATGCTGTCTGCCACTTACCTCACCACCAGCCAATCAAAGAAGAGTTCATGACCTGACCACACCCACTTTGAGCCATTACTATAAAACGCCTCACTAACCCCTATTGTTTGAGACACACAGTTTTGAGGGCATTAGCCCACTGTGGCCCGTTTGCTTGGCAAAGCAATAAAGCCATTCTTTTCTACTTAATTGAAAAAGAAGGGGAAAAGGAAAGAAAAAAAAAAAAACCGAATGCTTATTCCTGAAATTCTTGGCTTTCTGACTTGGAAAAGCACACTTGTGTTCATGCTAATTATTTATTAACATTTCTTTTCCACAGTACACATATACTCTGTTGTTTAATATGGTTCTTGAAGATGCTTGTAAAATTAACCTGTTGGAGATATTTTTACCCTAGTTTAGTAAAATCTTTGGAAATGTTTATTTAGATAATATAATGAAACAGTTTACTCCAGCAATTTTCCAAGTGTTTTTAAAATTTCAGTTTCAAATTAGGCTAGTATGTAATGTGTTACATTGTTTACTTTTCTAGTGTAATAAAAAGTGTTTTCAGTTTTCCTTAGCAATATTTTTTCTACGACGTGTATTTGTCCTGTTTTATCGCCAGGGATTACTGGGTTGTTTTGGGACTCCTGTGACGTGATAATGCCTATAAGTCAATGACAGGTACAAAGTAGTTGCAGTGTAAATATGAAGAACAACAGTTACTTTTGGGCTATCATTCAGTGAAAGAACTGAGATGGCAAAAGGATGACATGAAATCTTTTTGTAGGACACCCAACATCCTCCACATAGAATTTGTTTGTAACCAAGAATAATGTTTTTGATAAGTGATCTTGATTTTTATTTGTATTTTTATTTGAGCTTCATTGCTTGCAGGGTCTTAGTTCCCCAACCAGGGATTGAACCTGGTCCCTGCCAATAAAAGAGTCATAACCACTGGACCACCAGGGAATTCCCTGATTTATATTACCATTGATATGAATTCTTTGATTCATTTCTATTACTAATATTTTATGATGAATTTTTTAATCTTCACATAGATCGATCATTTTACTTTTGTCTTTTTTCTTTTTCATTTTACTTTTTTCTATTTTTCTAGTTTTGTTTCCCAGTAATTCTGGCCTTATAAACCGAGTTGACAAGTGCTTTCACCTTTTCTTAAAAATAAATCACATAGAATTACTGGTAATTCTTTTTAAAAAATTTGAAAGAATTGTCAAATGCCATTGTTGCAACTTTTTAAAATTACTTTTTGTAAAGGAGAGCCCCTGATGTTGACTGTTACGCACCTGTCCTCCACAAGACTGCGAGGGAAAGTGAAATGGAGACATTTATTACTCAGATTCTGGTGGAGATTCATGGTATAGCTGGAGGGAACATGTAAGAAGTCCTGCAGGGTCTCGGCAGAGCATGGAACATGTACCTTTATTAAGACCCATAGGTGGGTTGTTCGGATTGGATTAATCAAATTCAAAAGAGTAGGAATTGCTAAGCTTCAGTCAGGGGAGGGGAGTCATATCTAAAGAACAAGAAGGGGAAGGCAGATGGTAATGGGGAGTATGGTTCTCACAAGAGCAGTTCAGGGAGTCATATCCTGTGTCTGCTGTTACTTAGGATGTACTGTCAAGGGAAAGGGCAATGTCAGTTCAAGACCCCTGCAGGGCACTTGTGGTTAGCTGCTCAGTCGCGTTCAACTCTGTGACCCCAGGGACTGTAGCCCACCAGGCTCCTCTGTCCATGGGGATTCTTCAGGCAAGCATCCTGGAGCTGGTTGCCATGCCCTCCTCCAAGGAATCATCCCAATTGAGGGATCAAACCCAGGTCTCCTGCACTGCAAATGGATTCTTTACTGTCTGAGCCACCAGGGAAGCTGGCAGGACAGTAGGCTACACCAAGTACACCAGCACTCATATGATGGAGGAGTTTAAGCTTTCACAATCACTGCTTTTGGGTTTCTTAGACGGTGGGCATTCTGAAATTACAAATTTACATTGCAATTCAAAACAACTACCCAAATATGTTTCACATAGGTGATTTGTTGTATGTTATGGGTTTTGTGGAATTAGTGCATTTCATCTTAAATCATGTAAAGTTTTTGTAAGAGTTCCTTTCTATCCTTTTCATGTCTGCATGTTCTGTAGTAATAGCCTCTATTTTATCTAACATCAGTAATTTTGTTAGTGTAAACAAAGGAGGGAAAAGTCCTAACAGAAGCTGCAGTTATCACATATAGTAATATTCAGTTCAGTTGCTCAGTCGTGTCCAACTCTTTGCGACCCCATGGACTGCAGCATGCCAGACCTCCCTGTCCATCACCAACTCCTGGAGTCTACCCAAACTCATGTCCATTGAGTCGGTGATGCTATCCAACCATCTCATCCTCTGTCATCCCCTTCTCCTCCCACCTTCAATCTTTCCCTGCATCAGGGTCTTTTCAAATGAATCAGTTCTTCTCATCAGGTGGTCCAAGTGTTGAAGTTTCACCTTCAGCATTAATCCTTCCAATGAATACCCAGGACTGATCTCTTTTAGAATGGACTGTTTGGATCTCTGCAGTCCAAAGTAATATTATGTACAGCTATTTATCAAACTTCTGTGAGATCATACATGTCTGCCCTTTCATATCAAGCTTGGCTACTGGATTAAGGCAACCCTCCCTTTCACTTGAGAGAATTGCACTTCTTTGCCCATTTCATGCAAGCTTGTCTTTTTGAGTTCCTGGGCCAATCTGGTATGAGCAGAGAGGCATGTTTCAAGTTTAAATAGCTTTCAAAGCTTTTATTTGCTTCTTGTAACCCTGTCTTGTCTATACTGCAAGAATGGTTTTGGATAAACTGAAATTTTATGCTGAATGACAGGATTTTAGAAACAAAAGGTGAATAAAGATAGATACAGGAAGAGAAAGTCCAGAGGGTCAGGTATGTGATTTGATGGCTTCTCTGATCCTTCTGAATCTATAAGCACTTAGTCTTTACTTTGTAGTAGCATGGCTGGTGAATGACTAAGAAAGGTGAAGGTTGAGACCAAAACCCTCTTCATTTTTAGATTTTTGATTTTCAGCAAAACATTAGTTTCATGTTTTTTCCAAATATTAGCTACTAATTAAGTGGCCATCATAGTTTTAATAAATGTGAATTTTTTAATTTCGTATTTCCATCTAAAGAACATGAAAAAGGGAAAATATGTTAGGGCTGGAGCATGTCAATAGTTTGTTCTTTATCCTGAGAATATAATATTAAAAGATACATGCTTAATAAACTTAACTGTGGTAATTGTCTATGTAAGAATACCATGCTGTACAACTTAAACTCACAGTCACGTTCAGTTCAGTCCAGTCGCTCAGTCGTGTCCAACTCTTTGTGACCCCGTGAATCGCAGTATGCCAGGCCTCCCTGTCCATCACCAACTCCTGGAGTTTACTCAAACTCGTGTCCATCGAGTTGGTGATGCCATCCAGCCACCTCATCCTCTTCTGTCGCCTTCTCCTCCTGCCCTCAATCCCTCCCAGCATCAGGGTCTTTTCCAATGAGTCAACTCTTTGCATCAGGTGGCCAAAGTACTGCAGTTTCAGCTTCAGCATCAGGCCTTCCAATGAACACAGGACTGATCTCCTTAAGGATGGACTGGTTGAAGTTGGGTGTATATCAATAAAACCAGGGGTGGGAGGTAGGAAGTGTAATGTACTTTTAAGAGGCAAAACACTAGGAAGAAGAATGCAATTTATAAGAACTTATTTTTAATGATTTGCATTTTTAAAAGCAATGGTTAGTGACAGAAATTATCACATGACTTAGTGCTCTAGTCTCAGATGCCAGGTTCTGTCCTGAGGCTCTGGAACCAGGAGCGTGTTGAATTTGTCGTTGTGGCTGAAATAATAGAAAAGAAAAGCTATTCTGTAAGGTATCAGTGAAAAACGGCCAACTTTATACTAGGGAAATTTTTCATTACTCATTCTAGTGTGTAAAGCAGAGGCATGTCCAGCTCTTGTTTCCTTAAACTACTTAAATTATTTCTAACTGCCCCACTGGAGACCCACTTTTCCAACCACTGAATTGCTTGAGCCTTGGGAGCAAACCTATTGCCAGTAGGTTTTATTAAAGCCATTTTCAACTTGTTAGGGAGATTCATATTAGTTTCCCACCTAAGTAATCCACACAACGGTAAGCTCTTACTCCAAAAGGTTCAAGACAGTAAGTTAGCAGAGCAGTTTGAGGATATGAGGAGGAATCATCTCTCCACCGCCCCTTTGCTGGCTGTGTAGAACTACCGCCATTTTCGCCACGCCCCTCGCTGGTAGCGCCCTGCGAAGTTCCCGCCTCCGGAAGCCCGGCTTCTAACTCCGCGCTTGCGCAGTTTCTTAGGGAAAGGGAAGTGCAGAGCCCATTGTGAGGGAAGGACCTTGAAGGGTAAGCGTTTCGTTTTTTGTGTGGATTTGCGCTGCGAGGCCCCCTGTCTTTAGTCAAACCTCAGTGTCTTCGGAGTGAGTAGGGATCTGAAATTTCAGCACCCGGCCCTCCGCCCCAAGTAAAACTTGTAGTCCCCTTACTGGTCGGGTATTTTGGGTTTAAATTCGTTTCGAGGTTTGTCCCTAACTTTGCCTTTCTGCCTTCGGTGCACGTAAATGCCTCCCTTCGCTACATTATCCTGCTTAAAACTCTTTACTACCTCAACACTCATGTAAAGTCCTCTTTTGCGAGGTCCTTTCACACCCCTCACCTCCTGGCTTAGCCCTGTCGCCCCTGGACTGCAGCGCTGGCCACCCTACCCGGGGAGAGGCCCGCTCCTCAACCTCAACCTGCACTTGGTGAAACCGTTTGTGTCTTTCCCCGCGAAGGGGCGCTGAAGAGCTCCGTGCCAGAGTCCTTTATATCTCATCTTTTGCGACAGGCCAATTGGTAGATAAGTGATACTAGAATAGGACCTAACAAGTGGGCGAGAGGATGCTGTGGCCTGAGGACTTACTGAGCTACAGTTCGAGAAAGGAAAAGTGGGGAGGAGAAGACCTTTCTTGTCTTTCTTGAGTAGATCTTTTGCTTCCGTCTTCAGCCCCCCTGCAGGTTAGGCAATGGAGTTTTCTTGTTCCTGCAAGATCAAGTTAGATCCACAAATTACTGCTTTTTATGTGTGCGAAGAGAGTGTCCTAACAATGAGCTCACTGGGCACAATATGGGTTTCATGCCACCATTGTTTTATTGTTTTGTGGCTCATCTTGTGCTCTATTGTGTGGGTTTATTGCTATGTAATCCTGCTAGGTTTTGTGGTTAAGCAAATCTGGTGTCTTGTGTAATCATTGACTTGCAGACATCTCCCTTATTTTTTCTACTGACAATGCCCTTAGTAGGATAAACTTTTCTAAGTTTATTCATTTGGCTGTGCTGGGTCTTAGTTGTGGCATGTGGTATCTAGCTCCCCGACCAGGAATCAAATCCAAGTTCCCTACCTTGGGAGTGCAGAGTGCTAGCCACTGGAAAGTGAAAGTGAAGTCACTCAGTCGTGTCCGACTCTTTGCGACCTGGTAGGCTACAGTCCATGGGATTTTCCAGACAAGAATACTGGAGTGGGTTGCCATTTCCTTCTCCAGGGGATCTTCCCGACCCAGGGATCGAACCCTGATCTCCCGCATTGTTGGCAGACGCTTTACCATCTGAGCTACCAGGGAAGCCCTGCTAGCCACTGGACCACCAGGGAAATCCCAGGATTAACCTGCTTTATCCCTTTACTCTGTCTCTATCTCTGGCCTTCTGGAGACCCCACCTCTCTCCTGAGAACTCCCTCCCTCCCAGCCCCACTGTAGTCCCTTCTCAGGCTGGTCCGTCGGCCACTCTGGCCTCCCCTTCATTGGGAGCCTATCCCCACCCAGGCAGATGTGACCTGGGGTGGTCATGTGACACATAGTGTCCACCCGACGGACAGTCTTTTCCCGCAGGCAGGCGTCCTATTCAATTGCCATCCCTTGTAGATATGTAGAGGACCAGGAAAAGCAGAAAAATGAGCAACTGAGGGAACTAGAAAAACTGGGAACAAGAAAAGAATGATGGAGAATAGCTAGGAATGGAAAGGGTGGCTGAGGGACTTGTTCAAAGAGTAAAATGAAAGCGGTTAAGCATTGAAAATACCAGGTGAATAAAATAAGTAAAAGTTTAAAAAGATGATTCTCCACTGATTGGATCTGTCGACTTAAAAAAAAAAAAAGCACTATGTTAGATTTTTGCAAGTAAAGTTTTATTTGGGGCAAAATGAGGACTGCAGTCCAGGAGACAGAACTTCACATAGCTCTGTGAAACTGCTACAAAGAGGCAGGGGGAAAGGTCAGTATATATGTGATTTTGGTAAAGGGGGAATACATGTAATCAAGCACATATTTTTTCCAGAAGGTTTCTACTTTTGTGAAGCTTTGCTAATCACAAGAAACAGTCATCACCATGAAGGATTTTAGTGCTTTTCTAGATATGGAGAGATATAAGAATTGGGCTCATAAAATTGGCTCCTAAAAATATCTATCTGAAGACCTGGCCTTCCAGTTTTTCCTGAGCACAGAGTGTCTCATTTCAGTTCTCCACTCTAAAGTCCTTTCAGAGGGTATTGAAGATCAACACCTGCAAAAGCACATGATTTAATCCTTGTAAGAGTAGATAGGTAGATTGTTGTTCTTCAGTCCCTAAGTCGTGTCTGACTCTTTTTGACTCCATGGACTGCAGCACATCAGGTTTCCTGTCATCCATCATCTTGCGAAACTCATGTCCATTGAGTCAGTGACGCTGCCTAATTGTCTCATCCTCTGCCACCCCCTTATCCTCTTGCCTTCAATCTTCCCAGCATCACAGTCTTTTCCAGTGAGTTGGCTTTCGCATAGCTGGCCAAAGTACTGGAGCTTCAGCGTCAATCCTACCAATGAATATTCAGGGTTGGTTTCCCTTTGGATTGACTGGTTTGATCTCCTTGCAGTCCAAGGGACTCTCAAGAGTCTTCTCCAGGACCACAGTTCAAAAGCATCAATTCTTTGGCCCTCAGCCTTCTTTATGATCCAACTGACACTTCTGTACATGACTACTGGCATGTAGGTAGATGGCAAGTGCTAGTTTGTAGCTGACAGTAACATAGAGGGGCCTTGGATCAGCAGTGGGGCAGGGGCACCAAAAGAGAGACACTTCACACAGAGTGGGGTGAGAGGATGAAAGAGCTGGACACTTGGGCTGCAGAGCAGCATGGTGCTGGGAGAGAAGGAGGATCAAGTGTGACCACAAGAGGAAGAGAGAGCAGGAAGGACGCATCACCACCTGGAGTGTCAGAGGAGGGGGGAGAAGGGGAGTGGAAGAGGGAGAGAAGGGGTGTAACTGGAGGGCAGAGAGAGAGCAGGGAAGGGGAAGAAAGAGGCAGAAACACAGATGGAGGACCGGCAGAAAGGGTGCAGAGACCAAGCATGTCGAGGGGAACAGTTTACAGAGTGGGGCAGGACAAATGTGAGGGAGGAAACAGGAACAGCAGGAGAGCAGAGGGGAAGAAAAGAGACAGATAAACCGACTGAAATGGAAACACCTAGTCGAGCAGGTGGGTAGTGGGAACTGGATGCAGATGGATGGTGAGTTGTTTGGTTGTCGATAAGTTGTGATGTATGATTTCTTATTTTAGAATGTAATAAAATGTCTCTAATTGTACAGGTGAGGATGAAAATAGCAGAACTTGTGTCTTGTGCATTCTGTAATTCTTCGTATCAGAAGATAACTTCCATTTGCAAACCCTGTTTCTCCAGGGGACAGTGATTTGATTCACTCATTTGTGAGTCGTCCCCTTCCCTTTTCTTGACGTGGGACAGAGGAGCAGGGAGAGAACAAAGGGGGCAAGAAGTGATTAAATCTGTCACTGTATGGTGTCTTAAAAGAAACATTGAGAGTCCTTTTTTGTGATGGGCTTACTTTTTTTTGTATCTTTACATATCATTTGTTTTGTAGCATGGAAAAAGAGTTTAGTTTGTTCAGTTTCAACTTCCCTAGAAGTTGAACATTAACTTCTGTAACAAGCTTTGGTGGTCTTATATAATCAAGTAATTCTTTTCTAAATATTGATATACTGTGAAATTTGTAAAATGTTGACCCGCAATTATTAGGTGATAAAAATTCACAAATCGTTTCTTTTTAAAATGTGTTTCAGATAACTTGGAGGCCTGCCTGCTTTCTACTCTTTCTCTTTTGTATTGGAAAAGCTCTTTGGTATGTAATAAATAATTTTAGACGTTTTGCTTGGTACTTGGTCAAGTTGTCAATGGTCTTTTATATTAACAGACAAATCCTAATTTTACCAGTTAGTCTAATGTTTTGTTTTCTCCCTTTTTGTGCTAAGAGGAAGAGAAGGAAACAAAAAAGAAGTCAGAAATGGCTCTTTCTCAGGTAAAGTCATGTTCTTAGTTGTTTTCAGTCTGTCCTTGAAATGCCCTTCTTTGAACATGCTAATCTTCACAGAATCTGAAATATCCTGCCTGATACCCGTGTATTCATCTTCTTTTTCAAGAGTTTTTTGACTGTTTGTTGACTCTTGAGATTCCCTATAAATTTACGAATGATTGTTTTTCTATAAGTGCAAATGATGCCTTTGAAATTTTGATAGGGATTCTTTATATCTGTAGACCGCACCCCCTGCAGGGGAAGCATGGAGTTCTAACCACTGGACCCTAATTTGGGAAGTCCCCAATTTGGTCATTTTTTGTAAAGAAAATTCTGCAATGAAACTTTATTGACTTGATTTTTATAGTTTGCTACTTCTAAGCAAAGGAAGTGTTATCTGTTTTTAATCAGTTTGATTGGCCTCTTAATTTCCGTTGAAAAATTTGGGGGGTATACTAGGTCTTATCTGCTGGGTTGCAAGTGAAGGGATTTCTTTTTTTTTTTCTATTCTTTAAATTTTATTTTTAATTGGAGGATAGTTGCTTTACAATGATGTGTTGGTTTCTGCCGTACAACAACATGAATCAGCCATGGATATGTATATATTCACTACTTCTTTAGCTTCCCTTCCACCCAAATTTGGTCATTTTAAAAACATAAAGTTCCCATGCATGATTACAGCTTGTGTTTCTTTCATATATATCTCCATGGACTTCTTATAAAGTTTTGTACTTTTCAGTGTAAAGGTCTTACACGTAGTTGGCTGATCTTTTCCCTAAGGATTCTGTGGGGTTGTTCTCTGATTTTTTGACATTGTTCATTGTGTATCGAAGTGCAACTGATTTTGGTTTGCAGATATTTTATGCTGCAACTCTTCTAAGGTTTTTCTAAATTTTTGTTTATTTATTTATTTTTGGCTGTGCTAGTTCTTTGTTGCTGAGAGTGGCCTTTGTCTAGTTGTGACAGTTGGAGGCTACTTGCTAGTTGTGGTACATGGGCTTTTCATTACAGTTGCTTCTCCTCTTGCAGACACAGGCTCTAAGTGGGCAGGTTTCACTAGTTAGTTGTCCCACTGCATATCAGATCTTGCTGGACCAGGGATTGGCAGGTGGATTCTTTACCACTGGACCACTGGGAATGTCCTTAATGTTTTTGGAGTAGTCAGTTTTCTTCTGCAATCTCTTTTGGGTTCTATATATAAAATCTTGTCACCTACAATATAAAAGGTAATTTTGCTTTCTTTTCAGTTTAGATAACTTGGATTTTTTTTTTTTTCTTTTCCAATTGCTCTGGCTAGGTTGTTCAGTAGTTTCTTGAAGAGTAATGCAGAGTGTGTGTCTTTCTCTTTTGTGGTTGTAAGGATTTAGCAGTGTGGACTTCCCCACTACTGCATCTTTGACTACCTGTTAATAAATTTTATAGGCTGTTTTTATTTTCGTTCACATACTTTACAGTTTTCCCTGTGATTTCTTCTTTGACTCGTTCCTTCTTAAACAATAAACTGCTTACTTTCCACTTTTGGAAACTTTTCCTGTTTTCCTTCTGCTGTTTATTTCTAGTATCATTTCACTGTGGTTAAAGGAGATACTCTTCGTTTTTTTAGAATATACTTTTTATGTTCTCAGCCTTCATATATTTGTTGAGCTTTGTTTTACGGTCTAGCATGTGGTCTGTGCAATGGAGAAGGTTTTCAGATGTGCTGGAGAAGGATGGGATTTCTGCTGTTGTTGAGTGGAATGTTCTGTACATGTTTGTTAGGTACAGTCATTCTACAGTGTTGTACAAGTGCTCAGTTTCCTTGTTGATCTTTTGGTTTCCATGCGCTGGTAAAACTCAGGTAGTGAAGTCTGATACTAATGTTGTGCTGTTACCTATTTCCATTTTTACTTCTGTTAAGATCTTCATTTTCAGGGGAACTCTGATGTTAGATATATACATATTTGTAATTGTTGTATTTTCTTGGTAAATTTACCTTTTCCCATTTCATAATATATTTGTTTTTTTTTTTTGTTAGATTTTTCCTTGGATTATTTTGTCTTTTGTCTGATATTGTATAGTAACCCCTGCTCTCTTAAGGACTGAATATCTTTTTCCGTCCTTTCACTTTTCACCTTAGACTTGTGAATGTTCACAGTTCCAGCTCTGATATGCTCTCTGTGTGTCTTGCTCCCACTCGGTTTTCCTCCTGTCACTTTCTCCAGTGGTCCCTGCTCAGGCATGGTGGTGAGAGGCAGGCCCCCTGGCCAGCCCCTCCCACTCCACTGTCACTTCAGCGAGAATTCATCAAGTGTTTCCTTCTGATCATGATGTTTGGTGAAATATTCTTGGTTGATAACAATATATTTTTTCCATGTTGATTTTGTTTTCTTTTTGTCATGATTTTAAATTGTCCAACAAGATTTTATTTTACTATGGTGCTAATCTACAAATAACGTGTAATAGTAATAACTTCCAAATTTGAATCAAAGTTAATTACTGCCAAAAACAAACTCTTTGGCCTTTATTAATGTCTTTTGGTTAAGACGACTGTGGGATAACATGGCCACGGCCATGGGCTTCACAAAGATCACCCCAGAGACAGAGGCTGGAGCAGGGTAGCAACCAGTGCCCCCATTTCCAAGTATGGCACCTGCAGTGGCAGCAGATTGGCCCTAGGTCCCCCAGCGGCAGCAGAAAAGCCTGGGTATGGTGGACTCGAGTGCGGCTGATCAGCTCAACTGGCAGACAGTGGAGGGCAGCAGATCGTCTCTATGGTGGACAGTGACTCCCAGTCTGTGGATGGACCCCAGGGAGGCCAGCCACTCCTGGGCAGTGGATGGCTCCAGGGTGGCCAATGACAGCAGTGAGGCCAGGGTGCCCTGCCCTCCTAGGCATCATCTAATATCAACTCCAGCCCTTCCTGGACCCCCTTCCCAGCCACTCCAGCAGGGCCTTTGCCTGAACCCCTGGTCACACGTTGAGAGAATCTTGACAGCCAGTGAATGTTTAAATGCTCAACAGGGACCAGCAGTGGGACTGCCAGGGCACCAGGCATGTCTTCCAGCTACATTGAGTGGCTGAAGGGCATGTCCTTGCTAGTTAGGGCCTGACAAAACATCCACTGGAGAAAGGAATGGCAAACCACTTCACTATTCTTGCCTTGAGACCTTCATGAACAGTATGAAAAGGCAATAAGATATGACACTGAAAGGTGAACCCTCCAGGTCGGTAGGTGCCCATATTCTACTAGGGTAAAGTAGAGAAATAGCAAAACAAAGAATGAAGAGCCTGAGCTGAAGCTGAAACAATGCCCAGTTGTGGTTGTATCTGGTGGTGAATAAAGTCCAATGCTGTAAAGAACAACATTGCATAGGAACCTGGAATATTAGGTCCAGTGAATCAAGATAAATTGGAAGTGGTTAAACAGGAGATGAGAAGAGTGAACATCAACATTCTAGGAATCAGTGAACTAAAATGGACCAGAATGGGTGAATTTCAGATGACCATTTTATCTACTATTGTGGGCAAGAATCCCTTAGAAGGAATGGAGTAACCCTCATAGTCAACAATAGCCCTGAAATGCAGTACTTGGTTGCAATCTCAAAAATAACAGAATGATCTCGGTTTGTTTCTGAGGCAAACCATTCAACCTCACAGTAATCCAAGTCTATGACCCAACCTGCAATGCTGGAGAAGCTGAAGTCGAATGGTTCTATGAAGATCTACAGGATATTCTAGAACTAACACCAAAAAAAGATGTCCTTTTCATCACAGGGGACTGCAATGCAAAAGTAGTCAGTCAAGAGATACCTGGACTGTTAGGCAAGTTTGGCCTTGGAGAACAAAATGAAGCAGGGCAAAGGCTAACAGAGTTTTGTCAAGAGAACACAATGGTCATATCAAACACTCTCTTCCAACAACACAAGAGATGATTCTACACATGAACATCGCCAGATGGCCAATACTGAAATCAGATTGATTATATTCTTTGTGGCCAAAGATGGAGAAGCTCTATACAGTCAGCAGTAAAAAGACCTGAAGCTGACTGTGGCTCAGACCATGAGCTCCTTATTGCAAAATTCAGACTTAAATTGAAGAAAGTAGGGAAAACCTATAGGCCATTCAATTTTGACCTAAGTCAAATCCCTTATGATTATACAGTGGAGGTGATGAATAGATTCAAGTGATTAGATCTGGTAGGCAGATTACCTTAAGAACTGTGAGTGGAAGTACATAATATTGTACAGGAGGTGATGACCAAAACCGTCCCCAAGAAAAAGAAATGCAAGAAGGCAAAATGGTTGCCTGAGGAGGCCTTACAAAGAGCTCAGAAAAGAAGAGAAGCAAGAAAGAGAAAGGGAGAAAGGGAAAGATATACTCACTTGAATGTAGAATTCCAGAGAATAGCAAGGAGAGGAAAGAAAGCCTTCTTCAGTGACAAATGCAAAGAAATAAGGAAAACAATAGAATAGAAAGACTAGTGATCTCTTTAAGAAAATTGGAGTTACCAAGGGAACATTTCATATAAGCTGGATTGAGAAAAGGCAGTGGACCTAGAGATCAAATTGACAACGTATGCTGCTGGGTCATAGAAAAAGCATGGAAATTCCAAAAAAAAACATGTGCTTCATTGACTCTACTCAAGCCTTTGACTGTGTGGATCACAACAAACTGGAATATTCCTAAAGAGATGGGAGTACCAGACCACGTTACCTGCCTCCTGGGAAACCTGTATGCAGGCCAAGAAGCAACACTTAGAATGAGACATGGAACAATGGACTGGTTCAAATTGGCAAAGGAGTATGTAAATACTGTATATTGTCACACTGCTTATTTAACTTATATGCAGCATACATCATTTGAAATGCCAGGCTAGATGAATCACAAACTGGAATAAAGATTGCCAGGAGAAATATCAACAACCTCAGATATGCAGATGATACCACTTTAATGGCAGAAAGTGAAGAGGAACCAAAGAGCTTCT